GCCTTCGGGGAAGAAGTTCGACGGGTCTGTCGGGTGCGGCATTGGCTGCGGCCTCTTGTACGGCTCGCACCCCTGCTGCGGCGTGGTGGGGTTCACCAGATTCCAGACGGTAGCCGCCCGGTACCAGGTTTCTACTTCGAGGATGTTCTTCATCAGATATACATCCCCCATTTGTTTCGCGTGGCGGTAATCCTCTCCCGCCTCGGAGAAGAGCCACTGCGGGTCTCTCTCCATGTCCTCCATCATGATTTCGTATAGTCCGTGCCAGGGTAATAGTTCGAAGATGCCTGGCCTAGGCACTGGCCCCTGAAGAAGGACCTGCCTCACCGCCGCCATTACCGTCGGCTCCAGAGCCTGGTTTGGGGGTCGGCTTGGCATCCTCAGCCTCCTTCCTCTCTCGGGCGATTCGGTCCAACTCCTTGTTTCTTCTCCACCGACCGATGTCTGAGTCCTCGTTGGAGATCTCTTCTTGATATACTCTCCAAGCTCGGGCTCGGGCCTCGAGGTCTGCTCCAGCTCTCCGGGCGTACCCGGTGTAGCGAACGGCAGCGGCTCGTACCCGGTTGTCGACTTCGGCGGGAGTGGCGTCGGGCTCAAGGGGTAAGTCCCAAAAGCCGTTGGGCCCGTAGAGGGCGTCCTCTTCGGCACGTCGGATGCGTGCATCATGCGCTCGGCCTCGGTCCATTCTGGTCTGGACCTCTGGGGACTCCCTGGCAGCTCGAGAGAGTCCGAGGGACTCGACGTACGTGTGATAAAGGAGGGGCCACGGACGCTGGGATGCAGGGACGGGGTCGGCGAAGGCTCGCGACGGGACGGACGGTTCCCAGTCGGAGACTCCGGCGAGGCGCTCGGCGGCGGTAACTGCCCCAAGTTCTTCGGCGTCGAGGTCTGGGAACTCGCTCCAAAGCTCCCCACTCGTCGGCTCGTGCGAGGAGACGGGGGAAGGGAGTATTGGGGCCTCAGGGACCTCAGAGATCGGGTCGGGCTCTCCTCTGGTCGGGACTCCGGCCACAGGAGTTTCTTCCCCGTCGTCGGCATAGACCCAACTGGTGTTGGGGTACCAGGCGACTGGGGGTCCTCTATGGGTTGGCCTGGTCCTTGGAACAGGCTGTGGGTGAGCTGGACGGGTGGTAGCTGCGGAGGCTCCGAGGCCAAGCTCTCCGGGGTCTTCGTAGAAATCGTCTCTGTTTCCTCTTGCAATCCTTGCGCGGTCTCTCGCATCATCGGCTGCAATCCTTCTGTTGCGGACCTCCTCCCAAGTGCCTTGATGTCCCCACCCTGAGTGGGTCCTCTCGCTGGTGGAGTCTCTGGTATTGGCGGCATCTTCCTCCTCCGAGTAGAGGTCGTTGAGGAGGTCGCTGAGTCGGGTTCTTTCCCACTCGGTGAGCTCGTCCCCTTCGAACTCGGTATCAGGGCTTTCTTCGCCCTCGACCAGATGCCTGGTGCCTTGTCTTCGGACTCCGTCGGCGCTTGACTCGCCTTGGACTGGAGAGACGTCGAAGAGGCCTGGTAGGGGCGTGTCTCCTCGCTCGAGGAGTACCCGCCCGGTATCTGCGATGTCGTCGGATTCGGTTGGTGCGCTGGAGGCGCTTCTGTAGGAGTCGGTGCTCGACTCTGAGGATCGCGAGCTGTGTCGCGACGATGTGTAGAGGGATCCTCCAGGTCTCTCGGATCCGTTGGATTCGACATCTCCTATTGTCTGCTGGGATGCCGATGGGATATCGATTACCGGAGGTGGATAAGCTGGGGCGCTGGGAATGTAGTGGATGGGAAGTTGAGCGCGGATTTGTCTCCGCTGGCAACAACGGCGAAGTCGGTACAAAGTAATGGACAAGAAAAAGAGTATAAAAGTTGCGAAGACGGCGAGAGTGGATTCTGACCAGGGCATTCGTCAGGGGATCTATTCGTGGCGTAGGTCGACGATTGACCATGCAAGCTGGTACACTGCAAGGATGGTGAGAACAATGAGAAGCGCGATAATCAAGCTGAGGTCGGTCTCGTAGTTGGAACCGTTCATCAACGAGATTTCGCAAGTTTCGTCGGGAGGAGTGCTCGTTACTATTAACAGCAAAACTGTTAAAATAGAGGCGAGCTGAAGGGCGAGAATAAAGGGTTTCGTGTTGGGGTACGTGGTGTCCTAAAAGAGACGGGGATATACCGAGTACAGGGCAGCTAGTAAGCTTGCTAGCAACACTGCCGGTATTCCGAGCGCGATTAGGAGGAAAGTTAAGTATACAGTCAAGAAGACTGCGAGGAGTAGGTCGTCGTAGAAGATGGATTCAACAATCAACCGAGTTACTAACAGCAGAAGGAGTAGCCGAGGGGGTATTAGCCACAAGGCTAGTGCGACGAGGTAGTGTATCGGATGAATGGTGACGGTGAGTGCTTTTCCGTTGGTCCACTCGCTGTACGTTGACAAGCGCTAGGTTGTCCACACGAACGTAGGCGATGACCGCTCTGGTCAAGCAAGGTAATTTCTCGTAAAGAAGTTGGGCAGCACTCTTTCTCAGAAGTGACGCTGAGCAACGTAGAACGAGCTTCGGCTAAATGTAAGCCACTAACTCTGATCGACTTAGATCGTGCTAAGGTGGCTACTCGCACTTCGGTAGACCACGCTCAACAAGTCAAAGGCGACGTAAGTCGATGGGACAATTTAGTCACGAAGGACGGAGTTCGATGTTAGGTAGAATAAACCTTAGCCGAAGCTGGGGTTTAGACCAGCTGAGGCTCTACTTAAATACACGTTGCGTAGGCTAAAGATAGTGCCGCAGCAACGTCCGATCGAAATCGCAGCATAGAGTAAGCGTGAATACGTAAGAAAAGAAAAAGAAAAGGAAAAAGAAAAGAATAACCGTAACATTCTTGATGTGTTGCTACCTGAACAAAAAGGATTGGTAAGCAAGGAAAAGAAGAAAAATATTAGGCCTACTGAACTCACGAATATGATGAATTGGCATCTGCTCAAAACTTCAGCATCACAGGAATGAGCTGAGACGACGTCAGTGTACGGACTTCATGGAAAAATTAATCAGCCATACCGCTGTGACTGCTTTCCCTCCGTAGCTTTCAGGTTAGGAACTGACTGACTGAAAGTCTTTACATCTTGTAAATATAAGAGCCTCACTGCATCATGATGGGTCGTTGATAATGAGTATGCACTATGCAACTGTAGCCAGCTTTAATTGACTAAAAGAAACAGTTGACACACCTAAAGTCTTTGAATCCATCATTGATCATCAAGGCAACCAGTTCTCTCAGCTTTACAGAATCAAACAGCCACGTCCACTATTATGCCCCTCAAATGCGGTGCGCTTAGCATGTGACATGTGACATGTGAAGGCTCATCCAGTTCCATCTCACAGCCCTGTCTCTCACGGTACAAAAGTCACGATACTTGAGAAATAACTGGAAGGAGCACAGATAAGCGATGGGGGGAAGCAAGCGGTAGACATAGACATACCTCCAAAACATTAAGGCGCCGTACCTCCAGTGATGTCTACGTCCATGCCCTCCATCTCTTTCTCATAGGTATCCCCAATGAGTGTTTTCTTCCACGGTATGCATGAATGCCTCCATCGTTACTTCCTGGGCTTCAATGTCACAACAGAAAACAGGCAAGCAGTTGCAGAAATATTAACTGACATAAAAAAAGCGACAGTAGTCTCATGCCTTACTCTGGTGCACATTGCAACCATCCATGCTTATCTGCACGAGCCTTCTCAGGCCTCCGTTTTGGTGCCGGCTCTAATCATTGGTATTAAAGCGATGCAGAATCCAGATGCTCATCACTCGGCACCCTTCGAACCACCGGCTGATGATTACGAACTCTAAGCGGAGACTTGTTCATGCAGTGAGTGCATCACATTGTTCAGTTGCAATCTGTATGCTATGGCTACCCCGAGGCTCTGCATACTAGTTGGACAAAAGTGATCAGCACAAGTAGCAAATGGGCACCAACGGCCTAAGCTCGCAGCACGATACCCTTAATTTTTACATCCATTCGTTGAGATGGTAGCATAGAAGCCACTTCGCTGCCCCTTCCTGCCAGACTCTGAAAATAAGGGTGATTTAAGTTCAAGGACTTCAGAAGGTCTTCCATGAATTTTTTCGTGGATATATGTGCCGTAAAAATGAGATATAAGGCTGATTGTCACTGGGGTCGTCGTGGTCAAGACAAGAAAAATGTTGACAACAACTGCAAACAGACCCATCACGTCGGTGGCATTGTAGGTTCATTCCAAGCCCCTTTCACTTTGGCTCTGTTTATGTTTGTCATGGATATTTTCGGGCAAGCCGTCATGAAGGGGCTTGCCACAGAGTGACACGATCGAAGGGGTTGTCGTCGAGCCTCCACCACCTTCCCTGACACTCCTTGTATCTCAGTCTGAGTGTGAAAGCTCTCCATCTTAGCTTGATGCATAATATCACACACTCTTTATATCCCAATTTCAAGTAATTATCAAGATAACATGCTCGGAAGCTTGGTCCAAACTGCTGGACAACCACTCTTTGTTCACAAGGCTCTTACTCCTTTCACCACATGGTAAGTCCCAAATTTCGGCCTGAAACACAATGCTTGGAGCTCAAAAAACATTTCTAGCTCCAATTTTCCTGGTTTCTTTGTTTGCTTCAAGCTCAGCGACACATCACATCGATGCCTCCTACCACCCCACCCTGGCCTCAGCACCCCAATCCATCTTCCACCCTACCTAGGACCCCGGGGACACCTCGACGTTGCAAATACCCTCAAACAAATCGTTTACAGGGCATAAAGATGAAAATGCCGAAGAATCTCAACATAGATGCCATCAAATCACGTCTCAAGCAGAGGTTCAAGCTGTCATATCATCCGGATGATTGGCAGGCCCATCTCATACGCAGAATACTGCAGGGATATGACAGTATCTTCTGTGCAGGTACTGGCTATGGCAAGAGTTTGATTTTCGAAGGTTTGGCAGCTTTGGGAGGGAAAGGGAAGCTGGTGATGGTGATATCCCCACTTAAGGCTCTTGAGCGGGACCAGGTATGTTCTTGTGGTTGATTATGGGTATTCCTTTCATGGAGAATGTATCATAGGTCAAACAAGCAACACAGAAAGGCCTAGATGCATTTGCCATCAATGAAGACACTTACAAGACCACGAAACTCTGGGTGCCTTGGAAGTCTTCTCCAGTTACAATCTCAGTCTCCTCACCTGTTGTCCGGGGTAGATTCTGATGTCTATAACAGTTGGGAGATGCAGCAAAGGTGTGCAAAATGCCCCAGAGAAATGGAGCTGCCTCCTTATACTTTGCCGCTATGCTCTCCGGCTTGAGAAGCTCCCAAATCTTTTCCATGGTAAGATCACTGAGCTTGATTCGAAGATTGCCATCATTGATGAGTTTATTGCTCTCCTCCAGTACTATTTCCTTTGTGCATCCCAGGATTACCATGTCATGAAGCCAGCGACAAGACTTGGGGTAGTTTTTGTGCCATAGCCAGAAGATCATTGCAGGAGGAAACCGTGTATCATCTGTGGTACCCATGGATGAATATGCCATAAATTTCCCAACTCTTTGCTTGACAATTATGAGCTTGCTGGAGAAGATGAATTCAAGGAGATTGGCGAGACTGAGCGTCAAGAATATCAAGAGTGAGAACACAAGGTGACACTTCTTTTCCATTGAGAATTGTGAGGCAGGACCAAGTCTGTCCTGCCAGAAGTCATTGTCATATTGTAGGGAATCCGCACTGGCCATGGAGTGTCACTGAGCGGGTAGTGTACCTTGTCTCAGACATGTCACACAATGTGACATGGAACAAGAAAGGGCCATCTTATCCTTGACTGGTCATTTAAAAGTGCCAACCTTCATCTGGTATCATTTTTATTGGTAGAATGTGTTTAATGGATCCCAGATGTGCTCCCTTCGAGAGGATTGTTCTTCAGGATCCTTCCATTTTTTTCTATTGCTTTATGAAGGTCAGCAGTCCAAACAGGCTTGTGACATGGAAAGCCAGGCATTTGCGGGTGCTGCATTGACTACGACTGCAGGAAAAATTGGTCTAGTGCATACTTCACACTATTATATACATATTGTATCTATATATCAAGGCTGGAAGGCACGAGTTTGATTAACTAGGTGAGATTGAATGACCCTATGGTTTCTGATCACTTTGCAGCAAGCCCCTCATGCAAGGTTGCCGGCACAGCATGGAGCAGGCTTGCTCCGAACCTAGTGGCATTGTTTTACCAAGATGGCCGAAACTCATCTGCGGGCTGTTACATGCCTTCTTTTCATTACCGCAAGGCTGCTGTGGTCTCGGTCCCCATAGTGTGTCGCTTTAACCCTTTACACTTCACATTTGCCATGAGCCGGGGCATCCTGGCTCAGAACAAACTTGGAGGCCACAAGTATAAAGCCGGCTTACTAGAGTCTAGGATATAATATGAAAAATAATCAAGGTGGAAAACAAGAGAACTTATTCAGAAATATGAAGCATTCATTGCTTATAGGTAACATGATTGGCAAGAACTCATCAATGCTTGTGCAGCTCTAGCCTTCTTCACCTCTTCTTTCCATCTCTTAACCTCATCGTAATAATTATCTGGCATCTCACCCACCTCCCTTTCCACAAAAGGGGTCAATTCAGTATATGTCTGACAAGCCGGACTGCCCCATTGCCTCGCCAAATCCAAAAAGGCATCCAGCGTTGGATATGTATCAATGAATTCCAGGAGTATTTCCATTTCAAAGTTGTACATGAAATATCGGGTGCCGATCCTGATGACAGCTTTGTCCGACAGACCATGGATCATGATGACATAGATTTCACCAGAGATATGATGAAGAAGTTCAATGTCAACACTTGCAGAGATTTGGCCATTGACAGGGGGGAATAGATGCCTGCTTGATGGAAAATTCTCCCAATCGTTGTGCCAGGTTCGAGGCAGTCAGTCAGAAGGGCCTTTGTACAGATGGGGATTCAGGACAGAGAAATCCATTTCTAGCTGGGTCTATGAATGAATGTGAGTATGATATAGGTGAGATTATCATCTCAACTTACTGCCATTGTTAGGAAGATGTAGCTGGAGTGATAGAACAAAAGGCACCATAGGAGCTTCAGCTTGAATAAGATTTATAGACCTATGATACAGATCAGTGTCTAATACATGACTTAGATGGGTCTGAAGCTATTTTACCCATGATTTAGCTCGATTTAGAGATGGTAGGCTCAGCGCATGATGGACCCTTTAATCTGATTCCTAGGGATCTGCACCGTATCCGTATATGGTTACGACTGTTAAATTTATGGGTTGACTCGTACCGTCACCATATGGGCTGAAACTGTTGACAGTATGGGTTGTAACCATACCCATCAACCGTATTTCTGGCGATGCCAAGCGACTCCAAGAAATTTTCAGACCAAAGTCATTCTGGATACACAAATAAGGTCAGTATCCGTCGGATCACAGCAAATTTTAGGCAGAAATACCTATATTGAGCAAACCCATACTAGACCTGTATTTTTTCTGGATTCCAAATCTCTATATGGTATGGTTATGGTACCCATATAAACCATCCCATAATTCCATAAATATGGGTACGGTGCGGATCCCTACTGATTCCACATTCAGGCTAAATTCAAGACGCTAAAGTTTCAACTCAGCATCAAGCCTGGGCTTCATGTTTACAGCATGACAGGGATTTTCAATTCCAACATGGGTTCATTATCCCATGGGGCTGCTTAATTAATAATACTAGGTGTCCTGTAAAGGATCTACCACAGGAAGGGTCTTCAACCCAGAAATGAGTATGAATCGGGCATATATTGCCAGAAGAGAGTGAGTCAAAGACATGACATGGTGGTAGAAATCCTAGATAAAGTTGTGAAAAGGCCAAAAAATGGCGCATATGAGTACAGTACCTAGTAGTCCAAAGGAATAGGTAACTTGAAACAAAGCTAAAGGAATGACACAATCTAGACACAATTGTGAGTCTATAGAAATCCATATCCTTTATATGTCCCATCTGCTCATAGATCACAAACATGGATGAACTATAGGGATGACGCCATGTCCCACAGACCAGATATCATTCGGTAAATCTACCTACTCCTGGTGTTTGTTCAAGTACAAGTCTAATACCTAGTGGCATGCCTCTTTATTGTGAGGATGAGTGAAATATGCAGTGGTAAACCTGTCTCTTGGTCTACTACCTTAGTGGTGGTTCAGTATGAAGGAATTATTATTCTACTAGGCTAAAACTTCAGCCTTATATACTACACAATGTATCTAGAAAGTTCTACTACTTTACTTATATTTATATTTACTTGAAGGTTCCAGTAAGTAAGAGTACGAGAGGAGAAACATTTAGCAAGAGCAATGATGCTCAAATATTCTGGATGTTGCCGGATTGCTGAGACACGGCATGCCCATCACTATGTCACAACCTGTATGTCAGTCACAGCACTCTTGTAGTGATATCTGCCTCAGTACTTTCGAGTATATCAGAGAGTTGGTAGTGTTCAAGGAAATCAATTCCGAGTATGTGATGTGACCAACCACCAGGTCATGATACAGTGATGAGTCAGTCACCTCCCAGCATTCTGGCAATATCTGGAATAACCATTGAGCTCAATAGCTCATGTACAGAAAGCTGGAGAAGGTACTCGAAAGACAAATGCTTAGTAAAGTAGAAAGTTCTAGAATAATTTCAAAGTGTATAAATATGAGTAGAGTCTCTGTAGGAGACAGTAATTAATCCTCTTTCTTCATAACTCACCCTCTAGTCTTTACAATAGGTTATAGGCCCTGGCCCTAATAGAAAACCTACTTGATTACTTACTACTACACATACACCCCCTATTCACATAGAGCCAACTTCGAACACCTAGTGACTTACTACATACAGTATCATGTCCAAGTCACACAATGTATATAAAATTGATCCATTGAAGGGAGCCAAAAACTACCCAACATGGAAGGTCAAAATGGTTGACATCCTCATGGATCTCAACCTTATCGAATATGCAGATGGGACCAAGAAGGCACCGGCAGATGCTGCCGCAAAGGCTACATGGTCAAAGAGTGACCGAAAAGCCTTATCATCAATCAGATTACGAGTATCTGATGGCCCATTGATCTACATATCAGGTTCAAAGACATTGGCAGAAGCATGGAAAGCCCTAAAAGAAATGTATGAGAAGAAGGGACCGATTGGGATAGTGATGACTTGACAGAAATTCTTCTGGGCTCAGTGGAAGGAAGGGGCAGATATTGAAGAACACATTAGGACACTGAGGTCCTATCAGGAAGAGCTTGCAGCCCTTAGTCAAACAGTAGCAGAAGAAGACTTTTCCATTACCCTACTTATATCATTACCAGAGTCATGGAATGCCTTCATCTCCTCAATAGACACTGCAGACCTTAAAGACTCATACAAATTAATTTCACGAGTACTACAGGAGGATATACAGCAAAGGGACAAGAATCCTGAGGCAGACACAGCCCTAGCAGCCCAATCACAGAAGAAGAAGTACAATCCGAATGTCACCTGTTTTGGGTGCAGAAAACGCGGCCATGTGGTGGCCGATTGTCGATCAGGGAAGGATGATGCCGGAAAATCAAAATGGAAAGGGAATTCCAAATGGAAGGGAAAGGATCACACTCACACAAATGTTGCAAAAGAAGAGTCCAAAAATGATTTCGCCTTCATTGCAAATGATCTAGCATTCACTGCCTTAGACTCATCCTCATGGTTGGCTGATTCAGCCTGCACAAGTCACATTGTCAAGGATAAAAGCTTATTCATTGACTATACTGAAACTCCTGGACATATAATTAAGGGAGTAGGAGAGTCTAAAGGCCTGGGAAGAGGCACAGTCAAAGTTATATTCAGGGATGGCCATAAATTCTCAACGGCAACTCTGAAGGATGCAATATACTGTCCAGATGCACCATTCAATTTAATTTCGCTAAGCCGCATGACTGATGCAGGTGTGAAATTGACCTTTTTGGGCGATAAATTGCTCATTAAATCCCCCAAAGGTGCCGCATTTGGCCAAGGAAACAAGATCTCAGGGATGTACATGTTTGACATCTTTGTTCCTGGATCTGATCATGCACACATGGCCAAATCAAGCAGCTGAACTTGGCATGAATGGCACAAAGCACTAGGACATCTAAATTTCGGAAGCATAAAGCATCTATTCAATAGGAAAATGGTCAAGGGTATGAAAGTAGAAAATTCTACTGACAGATTCCCCATTTGTGAGACCTGTATCCAGGCCAAGCAGCATGTAGAACCATTCCCATCAGAATCTGAAACAAAATATACCCGTATTGGGGAAATGACCTTTTTAGATTTATGGGGGCCTGCCCAGACCAAAGGAATCCAAGGCGAGAGATATCACATCAGCTTTACGGATGGAAAAATGTGGAGATCAATGATCTATTTCCTAAAAGGAAAGACAAATGCAGAAGTACTGCAGAAAGTAAAACAGTACCAAGCATACATAAAGAACCAGACAGGCAATGACCTGAAGTTCTTCAGGATAGACAATGGGAAGGAATATTTGAGCCAAGAGCTAAAGGAATACCTAAAAGATTGTGGTATACAGCTCCAGCTCACAGCCACTTACCCACCATCACAAAACAGAGTTGCGGAATGATTAAACTGGACGATTGTGGAGCATGCACGTGCGATGTTGATCGAGCATAAGCTTCCTTTGTTCCTATGGCCAGAAGCAGTAGCTTATGCAACATACCATAAAAACCAATCACCGACATGAGCATTAGAAGATGACATCACCCCAGAAGAATCATTCTGGAATAGGAAGCCAGATATTTCCACACTACAGGAATTTGGCTCAGCATGCTGGGTATTACAGCAAGATGCAAAACAGCAAAAACTTGACCTGAAGTCACAAAAATGTATATTTGTGGGGCTTAGTGATGAATCCAAAGCCTACAGATATTGGTACCCAGGCTCTAGGGTAATCCAGACTTCAAGAAATGTATTATTCCCACTCTACAATACAGCTGACACAACAGAACAGGAAAACTTTGTACCATCCTCTATGCAGCTCAAGAGGGAGAATACTAGTGAAGTCGAGCCGCATCAGAGTAGAAGTGCGAAAATAGAAATACTAAAAATAGCCACCAATCAAAGTGATCAAAACAATCAAAATGATGATGTCACTCCAGAAACTCCATCACAACCTAAAACAAAAGCACTTACATGGTGCGGAAAGCTTATAGAACTACGCGAAAAAGTCAGAGTGAATCAAATCAGCATCAAATGTGCCTGATTATCGCTTACTTAACAATCCATCATCCCAAAGCAACCAGCCACAAGGGCAGAAACAGAAAACAGAAAATATCACAGTTGACAGTGCTAATGTTGCTATAACAAAGCACCAAGATTATGCCTTATTGCTAGAATCTGTGGAGAATTTAAATGATGAGCCTTTAACCTTGGAAGAGGCCAAGCTTAGACCAGATTGGAAGCATTGGAAAAAGGCAATGGACACAGAGATGAATTTATTAGCATCTCTAGGGACATGAACATTGGAAGAGACACCTACAGACAGGACTACTATAGGGTGCAGATGGACATACAGGTTGAAAAGAGATGGAGAAGGAAAGATAGTCAAGTACAAAGCCAGACTAGTAGCCAAAGGGTATTCTCAGATACCCGGAGTTGACTTTTTCGAGACATTCGCACCCGTTGTCAGACTTGACACCTTCAGGCTATTATTAGCAATAGCTGCCCAAAATAACCTGATCATGCATGGCATGGATGTAGTTGGCACATACCTAAATGGCAAACTCAATGAAACCATTTACATGGTACAGCTGCCAGAATATTCAGATGGAACTGGGTGATCAGTCCGACTCCAACTCACCCTGTACAGATTAAAGCAATCTGGACGTGTCTGGAACATCAAGCTAAATAACACCTTTTTGGGGCTTGGATACAATCGCTTACTCAATGATCAGTGTGTGTATCTAAAACAGACTGTCAAGGGACCAATTATAATTGCCATACACATTGATGACATGACAATTTGGCTCCAAGCAATGACATCATGACCCAGGTGAAAGAAGAACTCAAGTCAAAGCTAAATGTGACAGACATGGGTGAAATAAATCACATCCTAGGCATGAAGATAGAAAGGAACTGGGAGAAAGGCACTATTACCTTAACTCAGAAGGCATACCTAGAGAAAGTCCTTGAAAGAATGGGAACGAAGGACTGCAAACCGGCAAAAATGCCAATGGACCCGAATGTATGGCTCCATAAAATCCCTGAAAGAGATCCAAGAAGCGCTGATGAAGCCACCCAGCAGTACTACCTAAAAGGAGTAGGATCACTTATGTATGCGGCAGTTGGATCTCATCCCAATATAGCTTTTCCAGTCTCAGATCTTAGCAAATATGTCCAGTGTCATGAATTCACCCCTATTTTTTGCTTTATCTTATCTTATCTCAGCATCACGGCAACTCATCATTCAACTCTCATCATCATTCCTATTTTTCGCTTTATCTTATCTTATCTTGGCATCACAGCAACTCGTCATTCAACTCTCATCATCATTCCTCATACCTGACCTGTATCATTCATGACCCACTCGGTCACATGCCCACACAGCATCACCTTGCGCCATGGACCGCATCACTAGGACTCAGTCATGGGCTCTGCTACCAGACCTCATAGAAGGCAGTGCCATATGGACACTGCCCTTCTTACTTGCAGGAGCACTTCTGGCATCATCACGCTCACGCCGCATCACCAGAGCATTACCACAACACAACCATCAGTTCCATCTGATTGGTCCCTGGATCCACTGCTCACACGCATGATCCGTCTGATGGCCCATAGACCGATCACACTCCTATGGGCCGGATCCTTCTTCACCCAGTCACACTTCTTTAGGTCGTCTGTGATCACACCCTAGGATGGACAAGCCGCCACGTACACTCCTCAGAAGACCGCGCCCTATGGATGCTAGCCTTCTTACTCGCAGGAGGGCTTCTCCTATACCAAGTACCATAAGATACAGAGGACATAGAAGACAGCACTACACTGGGACTTTACGCACCAAGATGCAGGAGCGGTACATACTAGTAAATACCACAATGTATTTAAGCAAGCCTTGCTGTGGTCTTACACCCCAGCTTCGGCTAAAGTTATACACTCCTAACTTTTCATGCAGAAACTCCCTGTTTCGTGCCTAAGGACTATTGTACCTTACCTAGTGATTGCAACGCCCTCTTCACAACTGAATCACCAAACGCGAGTGACAGTTTAGAGGCAAACATTGTTCAATCCAAGTTAGTGCATTACATCCAGAACCCTGGACCCAAGCACATCACAGCCTTGAAACGAGTATTCTGATACCTAAAAGGGACTCTAGAGCTAGGCATTGCATATGGAACTAGCAAAGACAGTCTCATACTTTACTCAGACTCAGACTGGAAAAATGATCTTGATGACAGAAAGTCAATATCAGGATATGTATGCATGTATGCAGGGGGAGTTATTACCTGGAGCTCAAAGAAGCAACCAACCATTGCATTATCAAGCATGGAAGCCAAATATATGGCTCTCGCACACTGCACAAAAGAAATAATTTGGCTGAGAGCATTACTCACCGAATTAGGATTTGTGCCAGATCAAGCAACTCCGATCAATGTGGACAATCAATCAGCTATCAAATTTAGCATGAACCCTGTGTTCCACATGAGATCGAAGCATATTGATATACGACATCATTTCATATGAGAACGGATAGCTTCTAATGAAGTTGAAGTTCACCACTGCGCATCAGAGGAAAATCTTGCAGACTTATTTACCAAGCCACTGACTAAACCTCTGCATGAATATCTAAGTCAAAATATCTTAGGTGTGTACCCTCAAAATTGAGGGGGAGTGTTGAAGGAAATCAATTCCGAGTATGTGATGTGACCGACCACCAGGTCATGACACAGTGATGAGTCAGTCACCTCCTGGCATTCTGGCAATATCTGGAATAACCATTGAGCTCGATAGCTCATGTACAGAAAGCTGGAGAAGGTACTCGAAAGACAAATGCTTAGTAAAGTAGAAAGTTCTAGAATAATTTCAAAGTGTATAAATATGAGTAGAGTCTCTGTAGGAGACAGTAATTAATCCTCTTTCTTCATAACTTGCCCTCTAGTCTTTACAATAGGTAGTTCAGTAGATAATTAAACACACGATTATTACACTAAAGTGTTAATGTACTAACCCTGTATTATCTACACCTGGCATTCCCCTGATGTACCATGTCGTTTAATCCTACCTACCTATCATCTGATAAACAAATATGTCCCAAAACAGATGAGAAGCTGCCCATACCTTCTCTGCCTCTAGATATGCCTTTTTTGATGTGTCAAGCTATTCCAGCCTCCTCATGAATGAATAGTTCTAAAGAACAGAAATTTCCCCATTATCGCGCTTTGATAAATGTACACCAAGGCTCTCCGAGCTCAATCTCAACATGCATTCCTCTTTCAGCACCACAAGTGACAAGTATTGTGATTTGAATGCAGTTGCACTCCAGCTGTTAGGCTGTTAGTCACTGGGTAGACAAACTCACAAGGAGTTTCCCTTGCCTATGCTCTGTATTTATACTATTTACTACTTAATCTAGTACTTTCTCCCCATTTCCTCTGGATTCCATCTTACTAAGCATGCCAAGACATGCCGTATCACCAGAATATCACAACAACAAGTGATGGTGGAAAGGTACCTGGTGTCCACACCTTGATTGTATCGTTGGATAAGATGTCATAAATAGAAGTGAACTACACTGTAAACTAGGAAAGTACTCTGTTGGTGAGGTCTCAGACATAAAATTTCCCCGAATGAAGGAAGACCACAAGGTCATCCATGAAACATCATATGTGTTTGACAGTGCTGTGGGGAATACCATAGATTACTTTCAGCTCAACGTGGAAGAAAACATGTGTTGCTTTCAACCCAAGGTGGACAAAACTCGTCTGTGGCCTATTACCCGCTGTCTTTCTGTATCAATGTAATATTACCATTTAATGCTGCTCCCCATATCGTGTCGCTTTAACCCCTTGCACTTCACCTTTGTCATGGGCCACGGGATCCCGACCTCAGAACCAAACTTGGAGCATATCCACACTTACTAATACCATAAGTCTAAAGCTAGCTTACTAGGATATAAAATGAAAGATAATAGGGGTGGAGAACCTATTCAGAAACACGAAGCATACTTTCAAGTAATTGCTTATAGATAACATAATTGGCGGGAATTCATCAGGGCCTGTGCAGCTCTGACCTTCTTCACCTCTTCGATCCATAATCCAACCATGTCATCGTAATCCTCTGGCATTGCATCCTCTTCCCTTTCCACAAAAGGGGTCAGCTCAGTATATGTCTCACAAGCCGGAGTCCCCCAATGCCTCGCCAAATCCAAAAAAGCGTCCAGCGTTGGATATGTATCAATGAACTCTAAAAGAACCTCCGTTTCGAAGTTGTACATGAAATACCAGGTACCGATCCTGATGACAGTTTCGTCCGAGTTACGGTGGTACATTATGACATAGATTTCCCCAAAGATATGGTGATGGATTTCAATGTCGACACTCGCGAAAATCCGGCCATTGACGAGGGGAAATAGACGCCTGCGAGATGGGAAATATTTCCAATCGTTGCTCCATTTTGGAGGTAGTCTGTGAGAAGGGCCTTTGTACAGGTGGGGATTCGGGACAGAGAAATCCATGTCTAGTTGGGTCTACAAATGAATGTTAGAATAATACAGGAAAGATTATCATCTCCACTTACTGCCATTTTGAGGAAAACGGAGCTGGAGTGATAAGAATGAGACGAAAGGTGCAATAGAAGTTTCAGTTTGAACAATTTATAAAGGTAGACTTATAATCGATCGTCTTGAGACAGAACAAATCAATGCCTAACATAACTTGGACAAATTTCAGAACTAGAAAAGCCAATGCCATACGCACCGATATGAACAGTAATTAGATACAGTTAGAACGGTGATATCTGGCGACATGTGTAGTTGCAAGATCTCGTACGGACGATTTCACTTTGAAAGCACCGTATGCAAGCAATAATTGCAAGGTACTATAGGTGCAAGCCATCACAATGGCAGCTAACGGGTATTACATTACCAAGGTCGAAATACTAGCCTGTTCCTTGAACAAGTTCCTGGCCCACGGTTCAAAAGGCATTCTGGGTTATCCGATTAACTCTCACATACAAGACTCTACACCCATTTCGCCTCAATAGCATCATACTGCGTCTGGTTCACCGGCACAACCACACCATGCTTCATCAAAGCAGGGAAGTTACTCCTGTCCCCATTCACCCAAGTAACACCCCCATCATCGGTATACTGCGGTACATATCCCTAAACGAATGCACGTCAGACACAGCCATCTCGAGAGCGTTTGAAAGACATACATAAACTCGGGTATCAGTACCATATTCATCCAGCCAAAGGTGAATACGACCCTCAACCTCATTGTCATGGAACGCGAGCGGCCCCTCAGTCACATACGGGTTAACATATCCATCTCCGATCTTCGTCCAGGTTCCAAAGAGACCGCCATTGGAATGCTCGGCCCATACACGAAGAACTGTCTCGTTCTTGATAAACCGGATATATTCACCATCGGAGAGAGGGAGGATTGTGAGGTCAATGATGGGAGTGCCAGGTATGACGATGTAATCCATCGCTTCAGTGAATGTTCGGAAGTCGGAAGTGTAGGCGGATACGATACGGTCCTCTGTAGCTGTTCCAGTGTGCTATGTATATACATTAGGACAGGTAACGGAGGGGAGATACCAGGACGTACAGCAGTGTCGTCCGCATCATAGAATCTTGATGACCAATAAACGAGATATTTCTCTGCATCTGCATCCCAGATAGCTTCGGGAGCCCAAGCCATTCCAGCTGTCTCACCAACAACCTCCGCAAGCCAATCGCTGCTCCAATTCACGAGATCCTCGCTTTCCCACACATACAAACTCCGGCTGCCCGTTCACGTAGCGGCATCCCAGTTGGTGTTGTCGATGAGCAGATCTGTGCCAATGATCCAGAATTTGGACTTATCGGGACTGCTGACAAGGAACGGATCCCGAACACCACCTGTCCCACTGGTCGGGACGAGGATAGCATTGTCGCTGTTGAGAGTCTGGTAGGAGAGCGGGTTGTTTCCGTTACTGAGGTGTGCGAATATTGATGCCTCGCGGTCATAGAAGTGCACAAAGAAATACCCGACTAGGTCCTGTCAAGTATATGTCAGTGCCGTGAAATTGAGCTGCTGCAAACACGCACATCGCTTTGCCTAGGAGAGGGTAAAGCTCGAGCCAGGAAGACCAAATGGGAATACACCCAGAGTGCAGCGAAAGGCACTGGATTGTACATGTGACGAGGGACATGAAACTCAACCTGCCTTGGCTATCATTTTAATATCAATGACGGAGAAACCGGGCCTAGCGACGGGACGCAAAAGAATCATAGGATGTTCCACGTCATTCGCCCACGTCCTCGTGGCCCAGAGGGCTGGTGGTTCTTTCGACCTCCGACTCCCGAGTTATATCCATAGTTTATATCGACAACCTTGGCGCAACTATCCATGTGGGGCAGTGTGCGGCCAATCATCGGGGAATGAATATTTGGCAAAATGATGTGTTTTGGGGACGGGACCGATATGGTTGCAGAGCACACAAGAGCGGGTGATGCATACTGGCATGGAGAAATGGCCTTGATTTTTGGTATTATACGCCGCTACTGGGCGATATTTTACACGTCTTGGAAATGTAAGAGCTTCACTGTACATTTTAAAGCCATCAAATGCAGCGTGAACATTATAGGCCATGTGACGTATGAAAACCAAGTTGCACCTCGCTCCAAGCGATAGACCTTAGTATTTTGTTTGAAAGCCCCATCATTGTGCAATAGTAATAGAATTCCGACGTTCTTGACATAATTCTATAAACAAATCAGAAAAGTGGACGAAAGGAACACAGCTGACGCACCCAAAGACTAAAGTCCTTGAACTCGCTGCCGATTACCCAGGTGACCGGTTCTCTCCGTTTCATAGAATTGAATGATGATACCTACTATTACGCTCTGTGCGCCTGCTCCCATCTCAGAGAAGCGCAGTCGAAAGCTATATCGCTTCCTGAGAAACAACTTAAGCATTAGAGGGAAAACAAGCGGCAACCACACCTTCAAAACCTCGAGGTGCCATACCTCCATCGATATCTACTTCCGACAGCCTCCTTCTCTTCCTCATAGAGATACCATACGGTGATATTCGACTTCCTGGGCTTTACCAGTGCAACAGAAAACAGGCAAACGGCTGCAGAGACGTTAGCTGATATCCAAAAGTCGATAGTAGTCGTACATTGCAGCCGCCCTGTGCTCGTCACTCGTATGCCTTCAGATGATCATGGATCAGGGTTGATAGCTGCAGGCCTAAGTGATTTATTCCTGTGGAAAGTGCATCCTGATTCCCTACGTTCGGCCGCAATTTGTATGGTATGCATAACCCAAGGGCCTGGATACTAACCGGAGAAAAAAAAACTGATCAAGATTAACAACGCGGGGAATAATCAAACGACGCACAGACGCAGACAGCCTAGGTTCGCAGAATAATGTCGGCAATCCTCATATCCTTCCTCAGACGGAAGCTTTACCATCTCCTTGCCCCTTCCCGCCAGTGCAACTCAAGTTCAAGAACGACCCCAGGATCGCAGAGCAATCTTTAATAGAATATCTTCATGAATATGCCACGAGAACGAGATATAAGGCTGGACGTCGGTGGGGCCATCGTGGGAGAGGAGAAAATGTGATGACAACAAGTGCAAACAGATGTGTCACGTCGTTGGTGTTGCTTTGTCAACTACCATCATCAGCAGCCGGACTCTTCCTCGAAAATTATCTTGCAACCACCGATTCTTCTCATTCCAAGCGTTACGACATCGTCAAGTTGAGTCCGAGTCATTTGTGATTCGACTGTGCCTGTCCAATCGGTTCTATCTCGCAAAGAAGTAGAAGTCAGCAATTCGCAATAAAACGTTTCTGAGTCTCCTTCGCCTCTCCGTGGTCCCGCGCAGTTCTTACTCCAGAAATCGCACCGCATAATTGGGCGATGCTCCTACCAAGACACCCCAGCCTTCGAGGATGCCTGAGATTGTGTTTCTTTCTCGTCAAGGCCCTATTCGTGTTTGACATCATAACTCCTCTGCGTTTACTCCAATTTTAAGTAAAGCATGCAACTGACAATGACACGTCTCAAAAGTTGACGTCTGTCTGGATCCATATTCGACACTGATCTGTGTCACACAGAAGTTTCAGGTGTAACTCCGTATCAACTGAGACGATCGCTTACAGGTCTATCCTGTGCAAGCATCCCCTATTCAGAACAAGAGCCTCTTTCATTGCCGCTACCTCAGCAGCTACATTCTTCTGATAATGGCAGTAGGTCGAAACAATGATCTTATCTCGTATACTTCATACTCATATCCCTTCGTAGACTGCGCTAGACATGGATTTTTCTGTCGCAAACCCCCATCTGTATGAAGGCCCTTCCGACCGACTGCCTCGAAACTGGAGCAACAATTGGGAAGATTCTCCATCTCGCGAGCATCTATTTCCCCTCGTTAATAGCCGAATCTTTACGAGTCTTGACATCGAACTTCATCATCATCTCTGGTGAAATCTACATCATAATGTACCATGATAAATCGGACGAAGCTGTCATCAGGATCGGCAACCGGTATTTCATATGACTTCGAAACGGACGTGCTCCTGGGATTCATTCATATGTACCCGACGTTGCATACCTTTTCGGACCAGGCAAGGCAATGGGAGGGACCGCTTTCTCAAGCTTATACACTGACCCCTTTTGTGGAAATCGAAGAGGATGTGACGTCAGATAATTACTACGATGAGGTTGAAAGATGGGATGAAGAGATAAATAAGGCTAAAGCGGTACACTCCTTGACAAGTTCTCGCCAATTATGTTACCTATAAGTGATGCAATAGAAATCATCAGCGCTCGTGTACCAGTCAGTGAATTTCCAAATCTTCGACGCCTCCACATCCTTCAGCAGATACGTGTCGCCACATCTGAATATGATCTGCGCAGAATCGGGCTTGTACATGAGGATCTCTATCATGCCATATATGTCAAAGTAGGCTTTGAGTTCGACGTTAAGGATCATACGCCCATAGACATATGGGAACAGGAAATCATCAAAGTCAAATTTTTCCCAGTCACAGCTCCAGCCTTGTTGAGGTAGACGGGAAGCATCTTTGTTGAGATGAGGGGAGTCAAGGCTCGGTTCCGGGTATACCTGAGCATCGGTCAGTTCGTGAAAGACTGCGCTTGTACTATTTCTACGTACCGCCATATTCCTGCTACGTTAGTAGAAGGTCTTATAGGGGATGGATGGTAGCCGAGTTTTTGACAGCTCCCCGAGCCGAATGTCATCGGACTTTCTATGTGTGGTAAATTTGAACGGGGCGCCACACATAAATTTCTGTTAAAGTCAGATTCTCGGTGTGGCAGGTTCTTTGTTTGTCACTTTGTTTACTGTGACTCATGTTACTATCACGCTCTCCACGGAGTTGCTCGGCCGAACTTCCATTCAGCTCTCCAAACAGCGATTCTAAGAGAAAATGCGAGCTGGTGGCGGCATCTGCCGCCACCGAGCGAGGCTTTTTTGAGCAGCACCCTTATTACTGTTAGTTTTTGAAGTCCTGATCATAACTACTTACTAACTGATTCAATTCACCCACAATCACCAATGGCATCGGCTCTGATTCCAACTCTTAGGTTCAATCGTGTATAAGTGAGGTAGTTTTTGGACAATGGATACTTTCATGAGGAGCGAACGTAGCAGGCTTTGCCCCAGAGCGGGCCTTACAGGAGTTATTCATAGCTGGGATCAGTGGCAACGTGTATAAAGAAGCACCGGCTGGCTCTGGCCGAAATAGGGCCGGCTTATCCCTCGGTGTACAGATCGGTTGAGCCTTCAGCGCTTCAGCACTGACTCGAGGACCCTGAATTAAAAAACGCAAAACGTTCTTATTTCTATCGATATAACACTTACATGAAGATAAGATAATTGTCAAGAAGTCAGCAAGGTGTTTACCGCTTGAGTCTTTTTATCTCTCCATCCCGTCTTTCAACTTCGTCAGACTAATTATCGGGCATTACATCCGCTACCCTTTCCATAGGCAGCGCATAGGTCCAGGAAAGCAGCCCCTGCCATTGCTTCCTCAGATCCAAAGATGCATCCAACGTCGACGCAGCACCACCTGCTAGTAATGCTGACGTCCTCGACGTATTTCTAAGAGCGAAATTTTTAAAAAAATGTGTAGAAAGGAATACAGCTGACATACCCAAAGTCAGCGAATACATCGCTAATCACCGAGACGGCTGGTTCTCTTAGGTTGACGCATTGAACGGCCACGCCTACTGCCACGCTCCTCGAATACGTGGCGTTCAGCTCGCAGAGGCAGATCTAGCTCCATCTTAATGCTCAGTCCAGCGCTGCACAAAAGCCGTGGTATTTGCGAAACAACTGGAAGGAGCACATATAAGCATTGGAGAAAAAATAAGCGGTAACCATACCTTCAAAGCACTGAGGCACCGTATCTCCAGCGATATCTAGCAATGGTTATATATATGCTGATTCCCACGACATTATTCTAAGAACAAGTCAAAAAAAGGACGAAAGTAACACAGCTGACGCACCCAGTCCTCGAACTCGCCGCCGACTACCTAGGCAACCGGTTCTCGCAGTGAATGAATGGCTAGCTCCTTGAATACGAAACGTTTGGCATGTGCGTGTGAGAGCTGGTCTATTTCCATCTCAAAGAAGCACAGTCTAGCCCTGCATAGAAGTTGTGATGCTTGAGAAACAATTTAAGCATTGGAGGGAAAACAAGCGGCAGCCGTACCTTCCAAACATTGAGATTGAGGCCTGAGGCGCCGTACTCCAGCGATATCTATTTCCGACGCCCTTCTCAGAGGTATACCATATGGCGAGCATTGTTCTCCGCGATATATGCATAGACGCGGCTATCGTTTTGAAATTCGACTTCTGGGCTTCCCAGGTGCAACATAAAACAAGGAAAGGCTGCAGAGACGTTAGCTGACATCCAAAAAGGAGCGGTGTCATGCCTCCAGATGGACAAGGTTTGATAACTGCGGACCCTAAGTGTTGGTTTATTCCCATGCGGAGTGAATCCCTATAACTTTAAAGCCTTGATCCTACGTTCGGCCGCAATTTGTATAGTATGGGTGACCCCAGGGACGTGCATACTAGCCGGGAAAAAAAGCACTGATCAGAAGTGGCTGCGCAAAGGATAATCAAAATGACGCACAGATGCAGACAGCCTAGGCTCGCAGACGAATATCCGGGATTCGCATATCGTTCCTCTCAGACGGCGACCCTGAAGCATCTACCATCTCCCTGTTCCTTCAGTCCTCAGACATAAGAGCGACTCGAGATCAAGAACGACAATGGGGTGGCAAAGTAGTGTTCCGCGAAATATTTTCTTGGAAATATGTGCGATGAGAACGAGATATAAGGCTGGACGTTACCGAGGTTTGACCGAGGTCGTCGTGGCGAGGACAACAAGCAAGTGCAAACAGACGCGTCACGTCGGTGGCGTTGCTTTGTCAACTTGTCCAAAACTTGTCAGCGGCCCGACTCTCGTGGTATCGAAAATGATTGCACTCAGCGTTTCTTCCGATTCCAAGCATTATGATATCCTCGAATTGAGTCCGAGTTATCCATGTTGATTCCACTACACTCGAGTCGTTCTATCTAGCACTGAAGTCAACAATTCTCAATAAAATGTTCCTGAGTCTCCTTCGCCTCTCCGTGGTCCCGCGCAGTCCTTACTCCAGAAATCGCATCACAGAATTGGGTGTCGATGCTCCTACCATGAGCCCCGACCTTCGAATAATTTTAGCGAGGATGGTCCTGAGATTGTGTTTCTTTCTCGTTGAGGCCCTATTCGTGTTTGATATCGTCCTCTGCATGAACTTCAATTTTAAAGTCGACAGACGTCGCAAAAGGTGAGGTTTGTCTAGATCCATATTCGATACCCATCTGTGTCGTACAGAAGTTTTGAATGACAGAACCTGTGGCTTTGTATCAACTGAGAGGACTGACTGCGGGTTTGTCTTTATGAATCCTGTTCAAGCCTCTCCTATCAAGAACGGCCCTCATTCCCGTCACCATCACCCAGCTACATTTTGTTTATCATGGCAGTGAGTCAAAGTAATAATGTCGATGATACTTCATTCTCATATCCCTTTGTAGACTATTCTAAACATGGATTTTTCCGTTCCAAATCCCCATCTGTATGAAGGCCCTTCCGACCAGCTTTCTCGAAACTGGAGAAAAGCATTGGCCAGGGAACAGGCACACAGCCAGGGACCGTCGAATGGTCCACGCGGGATAAATACAAGAAACGGAAGAGCGGATCACACGGAAGGCTGAGAACTTGGAACGCGCTGACGTTCTCGTGGTATCATAGATTAAATTTGTATCATTGTCCGGTTCGAACATAAAAACGACAATTTCCATACATAAGTTGTCACCAGAAACAGGATATCTTGGAGTGAGGTTTTAAGTAAAGATTCAAGTTTAATTACCCTTCAATCAAGCCGCATAAGTGTAGCACAAGAAACCATCTTCCGTGCTCAACACGTCGGCAACCTACATTTCAGTCAGAATGATCAACAGAAGTCGCGTTATTATACAAGTGCAGCACATACCGTTGCATTAGGAAGAATGTCGAACATATACAATACGGTAGCTCCGGTGGTCTCCTGGTATATTGTTTAGTACATCTTGTGACAGAAACACAGTAGCACATACAACATAACCGGTCGCAGGTTCTTTCTCCGACTCATACCCGATGTTGTTCAAATCATTGATACGAGTCTCGTTGTCGCCCTGCCACTTCCACCAAAGCTGCAGCAGATACACGACTCGAAGATCAGTCCACAAAGAACACAGCCGGAAAGAAAGTGAACTGAACGCACATAATCCACAAATCCGTGATGCATCCAGAACATTGGATCGTTAGGTGAAGTTGCAACGTTAGCCATCTGGTAAAAGGATAAAAAGATAAGACGGCGTCATCGTATATGGAAAATCACGCACATCCCCGCCGATACCAGCATGCCCTGAGACATGGATCCCGAGATCTGTGGCTGCGACACCCATGGTACTTTTGAAATCCGCAAGTGTTTCAAGGGCAAGCAGAGCATCAACGTATGTCTGCCCGACTCTGATCGAGGCGGTCTCATCCACTTCGCGTGCAAGAAGATGTGAGATACCCGGCGTCGCGCTCAAGGGCCGTGTGAGGTTAGCAAAAGGCCCGTCAATGACGGCCCAGTCATCTTCCTCATTACCATTCCCTCCAAAGTCTAGTAACACGGGAGAGGTGGAAAATGCACCGGCGTCGACAGCTTCATTCCAGTACGGCAACTGAAATCCGGGAAGGTATTATTCGTTTGACAACTAGGGTAAAGCATAGGTAGACGTACAGCACCGGTGTATCCGCACTCGTTACGGAGGAGTGTTTCGTGGACATAGACGTAATAACGGTGGACCTGGAATACGAATTTAGACTGTAGATCCCGAACTTGAGGATGAAAATAATGTTCATACATGTAGGAACCTAGACAAGAGAGTACAAAGAGCCTAGGTAAGCGTAGTATATGACGATGAATAAAGGACTACTGACTGTCCAGTTACATGCCAGAAATCATTGCCGTCCGCTAAATCACTTTGCTGCTGATGTGTACCAACCTATCAAATAGAAATATGTGAAAACGATTATATAGTGATATTATGAAAGGAAACTGACCAAGTCATCGTAGCGCGAAACAACGTATGGAATGTCGGTTTGAGCAGGCGCGTTAAGGAGACAGAGTTCCGCCGCGAAGTATGCTGCCTTCTCATCTTCGGTCAATGCATTCCTACAAGGTGTGTTCAGAATGGTATACCATGCATCGATACTGTAAGATGAATAGTTACCATTCCACACGAATAGTTGGCTCTGTGCAGGTGGACCGTCGACTGGCGCCAGGTGCTGCCAATGCGCGAGGCAGCTGAACAGCAGCCAGGATCAAGATAGACAGTTTGGAGAAGATGACGTGCATGGTAGTTCAAAGAGATGATAACCAAGAAGCAGTCCGGAAAGGTAGACAGAACTCGACCTGTAAAAAGTTCATTTCAGTAAGATGGACTTTATATTCCACTTCGTGGAGGTTCAATCCCGACAGAGTAACGAAAGAGTCAGCAGTAAGGTATCATCAGGCACTTGACAAAATTGCCAGGAAAGCTAGCCACGAGGGTCACACAAAGTGCACGCAAAAGTGGCGCAAAACCGTAGTTTCCGCGTGTGTTGAACCTGAAAGTAGAAATCAGAGTGTTGTGATCATCAGCTCTTTACTTAACAAGGCCCCCGGATATCTACCGACGGTTTTTTTTTCTTCTAAAATTTCCGCATCTGGTACTTGATTCATAGCTGTAGTGTTTCAAGCCGAAGCAAAGGATGTGATGAGCCTGAACAACACTCTCCCTCGGCAAAAAGATCTCACAAGAGTCTTTCTCCTCCGTCTCAGTCATAAGTAATTGAAGTCAATTCGAAGGGGAAGAGAAGGGATTGCTGTTGGCTCGCTAGAACACAGGTTGAAGTCACTAAGAATCTTATCTTTATCTTATCTGCATGCCTCGGACTTCGGATCGGCGGTAATTGCTCGCCCTATTATAGTAGCCCATCAAAATGACATCTAGAAGCGGCTGAACGGCTGAAGCTTGAGCGCGCGCCTGATCCCCGACTTCTCGGGATTATTGCAAGTATATCAGCCCAATCTCACGACGCCTCAGAGAGTGACTTTTACAGCAGAATCCTCTCACATATTTATAACATTATCATTTCACTCTTGTATAGTATAATACAGTATTACACACGAACCATTAGCACAAAGAGCCGATTTAGCGAAGAAGACACGTTACTATCCGAAATGCATCTCAGTGCGAACGAAATGCGGGATACCAACGTTGCAAGTAAAAGCCTGTGCACCCCCCAAAAACTCAAAGGTGTAACCCTTTTCGCTGTGTATCACCAGGCCCTCGAACGCCTTAGGATCCATCGGCTTGTATCCAAGGATCACTTCTTTAAGCGCCTCTTCCTTCTCGTGATATCAAGTGTTAATGTCGAATTGTTCTTGTTCCGTTCCTGACATTCTATTCAGACTCGGTATAACACTACTCAAGTCGAGACTTTTCAGGTACGGGAGACACGGTATCTGGTTAAGGACGGGAACCTTAAGAATAAGGTTCAGCTTCGTTCATTGAGAATTTTTTTTTAGAAAAAACATGCGATCATATCTGCTTCTCCTCCAACATGGCTCGTAAACACAGTCAACCCGACGAGCTTCGGACATTCCGCAACCAGTAGCTCGAGATGTCCGGGAGTGGTAATAGGCCAGCTACATTCCATGGGAGCTGTCAAATGAAGGTACTTCATCGTACTCCCGTGCTTCTTCAAAAACTTCTCGTAGAATTCGTTCCCTGGCTCTCTCCCATCTCGCGTTCCTCCGCTGAGTTCGAGAACGCGATACAGATCTGGATGAACTCTAATTTCTCTAGTGCCCATAGAAAGTCCCATAGTTCCGGTGAAAGGCATGCATGTGGAGTGAGATGAGGGTCAGCCTTGATGGATCGTGCGGTGCGTTCCTTCCTCCATAAGACATGTCCAGAAACCAGTCGGAGTACCGAGATTGTCGTGAATGATGAGGCTACCGAGACAATGGAAGTGGTCCTTGATAGACGACCAGTCTTCGAGCATGTCGAAGCCATCTGTAACCAGGTTCTCGATGCTCAGATGACGGTCACCAAAACCACTTAAATATCTCCCATAGGCGCCTCACCATTCTCCAGTCTCATGGTCTTGACAGCCGGTGTAGTCTGCCAAAAGGACCGAGTTGAAACACAGGCAGCATCGTCCCATGTGCGGGTTAGCCTGACGGCGTGGACATACGGACGAAGATAGCTTTATCAAGTGCAATGAATGTCAGGAAGGAAAGAGATGATAGTGTCGTCGTCGATTGCTGTACTGCGATAATTTTGGTCTTCTGGACGTGGCGAAAATGTCGCCATTGAATGGATCGAAATATCCGAGATATCCTAGCCTGATGTGAACCATGTCGCCGATGAAACAATATACCATACAAATCGACGAGAAGACAAGATATTCCACAGCATTATTGATGAATTTACACGTCGCCCTCAGTTTCTTTCTGAAGGAGTTGCTGCTGGTCTTAAGCAAAAGGCTTTGAAATGAAACATCAACAAACAATCGCGTCGTGTTGGTGGCGCAAGCTCTGCACCGGACCGCAACGTCCCTCATCAAAAACACAGGCGAACTTTCTTTTCGGCTGCAAAGCACTTCTATTTACCCATCCGGCAGGGCCTTGATCATCCAAAATGACCTTCCTGAGTCCTCGTGCCTCCGTTAAAAGTCGGTAAGCATTATTTATTAAGTCGCTTTGCTGACAGATTAAGACGGCCTCAGTGGATATGCGGCTGATTACATCGCAGAAGGAGGGTGTGCGGTCTCGCTCATACAGATTTTTAGTCGGAAAAAAAAAATGATACACGGATGTTTCCAGATAACGCAAATGTTGTAGTGTCAAGTTGTTTATCCCGTCAGGATTCGGGTTTGCGACTGCCGAGGCACCTCCTAGCTTGTTAAGTCACAAGGATTATTTCTGTAGTGGGTGAAACGTGGTCCTGGCAATTGAATTCGAAGCTGAAGGTCCCAACGGCAGAATCTTTGAAAAAGATCGGATTACCACCTGCGAGATTTCTCGTGAGCTCAATCAATATTTTTTCATGAAATTTACCGATTGTTAGACATAGAATGGATACATGTTCTTTTATCTCCTCAGAACGACAATATATTCTTCTTGGAATCCGAAAGGTTGACGATGGTGGAAGTGACTGCTAAAGTAAGTCTTGCACCGCATCACGTCGACGAGCTTCCTGGAGAGTTGCCTGGGTCGTTCGGAATTTTTGTGCATGAGATTATCGAGAGCCACGGTGGATCCACTGGGTGGGACCATGAGACGAGCAAGGGAGGCTCGGAGGCTGCTGGAAGTTCAAATTGACTGTAGTCAGGATACTGCAAAAGATAGCGATTATCTTTGTCATTAGTATGGAGGGATAAGCCTAACTCAATAACAGATGCATGCGGGGGCTGATTTAAATCGCAATACAGCATTGTTGTTGGGAAAAGACAAATCCATCCCTGGATCGATTGTATGTTTCCCAATATTTGGATGAGGATTCGGGTCGGGGCAGAGGAATGCTGATATCAATTTTAAGGTTGAAGCACATGAACGAATAATATAGCCTACCAACATAGTAAGTTTCGCACTCTGAGAAGAAAGCCATATGCAGGTCTCGTCACGTCAAAATGCAATGTAATTTTCATAGAAGCATACAAAAACTAGTCTGACTCTGGCGAAGCACTAGTCATCTCCTGCACTACTTCGACAGCTTGTCCACGACGGAATTTGAACACCATCATCAACATCTAGGAGGGCGGAGCACCTCCATCTCCACCACTGGAGCTGTTCTCAACACCGCCATCTTCGGTAAGAGTAGCTGCCGAAGAAACCGAGTAGCTGGCTGAGATGTCGATACCCACAGATCCCCAGCTATAAATATCTTGTCAATAACGCACTGTAAACAGCAAGTAGACACTTACGCAAGAAGGCCATCAGAGATATCATCACCGAGGTAGACGTACTCGAGGACAGGATCAACGCCGTTCGTTCCCTCAACCTCTCCCGACAAAATCGAGTCGTCCTCATTTAAAGTGAGCTGCTGGGTATTGCTCGAGTACGGAGAAGTTGCTTCGACGATGGAGATCAAGCTTTGGTCGAAGAAGAGTTGGCCTAACGGAGGAGATTAAAAAATACATACTTCAAAAGAAAATCAATGAGACTTGCCAACGTGGTGATCGCTATCAGTCTTGAAGGTACCGTTGTCAAAAACGGTTCCATCGTTGTGTGCGATGATATGGATATGATTTGCTCGCGACGTGTAATGTCCTGTATCACAGAGAAGAATCTCAGTATGATATATACACATATGTTATTTTGCGAACCTGGGAAAATGGTCTCGAACTGGGCGTAACCATCAGAGTTGGTCGGCTGAATGCCACGAAGGAAAGTCTTATCCTGCATATCAAACAGGGCATCAGAAATGAAAATGATGCGCGAGCGAATTCACTTTACCAAGTTGGTCTCGTCAGTTTGATCACCATTACCACCAGCGACAACACCAGAGTAGATGCCCGTTGCGTTGCAGTGCCAAAAGTCGATGTAGACGTCGGTGACAGGCTCGCAAGTGGAGTAGTCAATAAGCTCGACGTCGACATAGGTGTATATGCCTTCTTGATCCTCAGTGATGTCCGAGCGAACGTATTCTCCATCGACGTAGTACGGGCCTTGAGTGGTCTCAGATTCGAGCGTGCAAGACCCAGTTCCATCGAAGGGATCCAAATCGGCAGTTAGACCGGTCGCGTTCGACTGATGGTCAGTGCTCAAGACGTCATCCAAGCTGAGACGCTTGTAGAGGCTGCCTACAAAAAGGTATGTCAGTTTCTTAGACTAAAGGAAAGACTCCGTCAATGTTACTTACTTGTAGGAAGACCTCTCTTGCGGCGAAGGTTATCGGCGAGCGCCCTGCGACGAGCAGCCGACTTTTCGAGGTGTCCACGACGCTTAAGAACGTCTTGGCAGGCATTGAGGGAGCGACGCGCGAAGTTCTGGAAGTCGGCGCGTCGCGTGAGCTCACTCTGGCTCAGAGGAGCATCAGTAGGGTGGGCGGTAGCGGCCGTCACAGCGAGCAGAACCGCGGACGCAAGAGTAGAGAAATTAACCATGGTTATTGAGAAATAAGCCAATGAAAGGGGATTTTTAGATAGAGATAGTCTTTCTCAAAAATTTTGAGTCTTTTTATTTCTTTCCTCTCCAGAATCCGCAGCGCCTGGAAAGAAAGAAAAGAAAAATTTTTGACGCGGTGCTGAAGGCGAATGTCCTTGGCAGATACAGGTTCGTTGTAGCGAGGAGAAATGCCGCAAGCGTGATTGGTTCCCCGCATTGCCGCAGCATCTGTATCACCGCAGCAAATGCATGTGCTGAAAGGACAATGATATTATATGAGAACGACCCGTGCATATGAGTAAGGCTAACCTTGAAAAGCAGACACTTACCAAGGCATAAAGACAATGGTGTAAGTTCGGATGGATACAGCAGCATTGCTGAGTAGCCTGTTGTTTGGCTCCTCCGTCGCCAGCTTGAAAATTCTGTGCTACAACTGAAGGATCGGCAGAAACCACCGCGGAGGTAGACGTCAATTGATCACCATCAGATTTGCAGACTCATTTGGAGCACATGGTGATTCCTAAGAAAGTGCGAGACAACGCAAATAAGTCTCCAGTCGGCAGAGAATCAGTACAACGGTCAACACACAAATACAAGGCTCCAGAAATTACCGTATGGATTATTAAAGCGAGTCCAGCGCGAATCGTGAGGTCTGATGCGGTCTCGCATGTTCATGACATTGAATCAGCCCACTTCGCAGATACTTCTTGTCCTCGAACAAAAACCCGGACTTTATCCGACGTAGTGACAATCTGCGTGATACCGTGGGTATCTGCGTGAGCCAATTAGATAGTCGACAACGGTCATTGTTTCAGAGAAAAAGATTATCCGAAAGCTCTCACCGTCCACGGACCCTATTACGCCGAATCCGCTAACAATTCCTTAAAAACTGGGACGTGGAACGGCTCCGGAAAAAATCCGCATAGGTAGGCTCAGTGATGATGATTCCGTGGCGAGGAAAATTCGAGTTGCAGGATTACAATGGTTGACTTGGCATCATACAGCCCGATGATCCGGGATGAGGCTTGAAGCTTGAAGAGGGGAGGCGAGACAATGGAGGACACAGAATAAGAGTCGACATCGGAACGCTGGTTCAAAGAAGTTCCAGTAAAGGATGTTGAATCCACAAGCATATTAAACTGGAAGTCAAGTCAGATTTAGAAATCATTAAGGCGCTCTATCATTATATCGATTTACGTATCAATGTATGGAAGACTTCCCGTGCGATGAACCATCTAGAAAGTATCACGTCTCTTCATACCAACCCTAACTCCTAACGGTTTTCTTAAGAAACCTTCTCTCACTTGCAACTACAACAAAGTCAGCGTGAATATGGGCTAAAGAAGATAAACACATACAGGTTTTTCAGGCTTCTCCAATACAAAATGGAAGCGTTTCAAGATCGATGCGATGATAATATGCAATTCAAGCGTTGCCAGATTACGCCCAACACAAGCCCTACATTCATTCAATTGATACAGGAACGAATCTGAAAAAGGTAAAACCGCGTACCGAGGTCCTACAGAGAAGGGATTGAACGTCTTCAAGATAGCCGCACTATCGCACTCGAACCATCTCTCAGGTCGGTATTCCTCCACATCATCTCCCCACACTGTCGGATCCCGGTGTATTGTATAACTAGGAACACTGACGACCGTACCAGGAGAGAAATATTTTCCCAAGATCATCATGCCGCTGTCGGGTACTACCCGGGGAAGTCCCAACGCTGACGTGGAGTGAAGTCGGAGTCCTTCATTGATACATGCATGCAAGTAGGAGAGGTTCTTCACTTGATCTGCTGTGGCGACGCCAGAATCGAGGTTCTCGTCGAGCTCCTGGTGAAGTTTCTCTTGTACCCTCGGTGTGCGCGCAAGGAAGTAGATAATGGCACTGGACGAGCTGAAAAGAATGTTTGATTAGAAAGCTGGACCAATGAAATAGAGGTTGGCATACTTCGATGTAGTATCGGATCCCGCGATGAGAAGCGTCAATGCTTCTGCAGTGAGCTCTTCTCGGCCCATGGGATTACCCTTAGACAGAGCTAATCAGTACAGCGACACGAGAAAGGAAACGTTATTCACCTGTTCGTCCTTCCCAGCCTGCAGCTTGCTCAGCAAGTCGTTCTTGTCAGTAGGTTCCGATAACCTCTTCGCAACCGCAGCGATAGCCATTCCCGCTAACGTATCGCTGTCTTGTCCTCCCTTCCTGAACAATGGAGTTCGCTTCAACAGCGGCCTCCACCATCCAGGAAAAGCTCCCATCGGCATAGTGTATTCCCCTCGGGCGTTTAAGATCTTTACGGCTGGTACTTCCTTCATAGCATACTTCGCCCCCGCTTGACCGTAAGATGCCATAACGGCTAGCGGATCTTCAGGCACTAGAGCTAAATCTCTGGCTGCCCTGATCATTCCAAATGGTGCTCCAAATGCTAGATCGCCTATGATATCAAACGCGAGATAGTTGGCCCCTACGAAGGAAACCGTAAGCAGAGCTTCTGGTCAATAAGGACTTTCCACCTACATGGTAAACAGTCCAACCAAAGGCGCCCGTCATGACCAGTCCAACCTTCTCCTTCGTCCCCAGACATGCCTTTCAGAGCATTATCATACAATCTGTCCCACTGCCCCAGCAGCTGACGGAGATAGCGGTGTACATGAGGCTCGAACTCCAGTACACTCTTCTGTGAAAAGACATGAGAGACAATCTTGCGTTTCCGAGTGTGATTGACGCGGTCACGGATGTTGAACAGGCCTCGTGTTATAGACACAAAGGCATCGTAGAACGACGATTTCAGCGCCCCATTTCCGTGACCATAGACAACAGACAAGGCGTCTGCTCGAGCCACGGAAATGTGGTTCGGGGCTATTCGGACGAAGGAGCCTAAAATGATATTATTAATGCACAGGAAAAAACGAGAAACAAGCGATGATGAACTGACCGTATCTCATATGCAAATCATGGATAATTTCTGAACGGTGACCTTTGTAAGACACACAGCCTAGCCACGCATCGGAAAACTTGGCGACCAGAGGACCAGGATACGAGCGCAGACCATGGGAGTCAACGAGGTAAGGGACCAGGTGAACGAGGAGGGCTATTGTCAGACCACTGGAAACAATCAACGTGAGGTTTGTGTAAAGCGATTCTAGGATAAGAGACAGCATTGTGTTGGGGACGAAATGATCCACCGAGGTCTCTTTTATACCGCCACAACTCAAACCGATGGAATACTGTAGCCAATTACCCACCCTGAGTGTGGAAGTCATATTGCTGTTGTAATCTCCTCTTCGAAGCATCGTGGTGACGTGTCCGACGCGAACGAGTACATCGGACGCGCCTATGAATACTAGCTTATGACGTTGCAATGCGAAAACGTCATAAGTAATGATTCCGCCGCTAACGTTGCCATTGACCGGTGAAGCTCGGTGTTGTTGTGTTCAAATGACAGCCCTTGCAAGGCCGAAAGATTATGTCAGTTTCAACATACAAGGGATCATCTGACGTTCAGCCTAACAACTGACATAGTCAACGGAAGTGGCATCGATGCGCAGGTGATCACACCAGTTCTCGTGGGGCTTCTACACCGATAGCACGCGAGTTGATCGCACCATGACTTCTCGGACCCAACATTGAACACTACCGTGCCGATGCCTAGAGCGGTGGAGAACTCGGACCGACGTAATCTCTTCTGATGGAGTTGGGCCGGATAAAGTTACTCAGGGAAAAACGGCACTTGTCAATCAGGTCTTGAGTCTCTTTTGCTTGCAAGTAGGTACTACCAAAAACGTTGGATGGTCAACAGAAGGGCATCCAATCTGCGTCAAAATATACCCACAATAGAAGGATGACCTGACCGAAGCCGAAGCTCCTTGTTTAGATGCACGAGCACCTGGAGACTGACAGGGCTATTCTGCTTGCTGAAACCGTGTCATGCGCAAGTGTTCGCGTAAACGTAACATATAAGGCGCGAAAGCTTCCGCAGGTACAGACATGGGGTACATCACACTAGGCCTTGTTTTGTGGCACTACTTCAGTGCCATTCATGAAGATGACGGCTCAAGATGCTAAGAAGCGGACGGAAATATCTGACGTAAGCTAAAGATAAGCGTTATAACGACGTAGATGATGCATACAGAGAAAAATGCGAATCAAAAGTCCTTGACGAGGTCAACTCTCGCGCGTATGTATTATCTGACTTGAAATCTACGTCCCCAGTTTAGGTCATAAGACGTCGTTCTGGAACCTCGAGGCACGGGTCTGATCGGGAATCCAGTGAAAATCTGAGTAAAATACTCCAGCTATGACAAGATCCGGTCTGCATACCTTGAGAATTCAGTCCACAGAGAAAGGGAAGGCTCCATCCGATGAGGGATGTAGTTCGTGAAGCTTTGATGCAGTGGACAAGATCCATCTTATGTGGTACATCATCATGCTTGAGAATCGCAACAGGCCTCATACCCAGGCTATATAGCTAGTGAAAAAGTCATTATAGGTGGCGCTATGGCAATGAAAGAACGTACCATATATAACGCGCCCGTCCACGCATATACTATATGCTGTAGATTCGCTTTGTCGCCAACGCGGAACCTTCATAAGCGCCTATAGGGTGTGAATACTTAGCGAGCGTCACTTCAACCTACGACGTGGTTAGTGCTGAGCAGGACGAGGGATTAGAAGTTACCGATGACATGCTCTGCTTGCACGTTCTCAGGAGCTGCCCATGCCGCAACTAACAGAACCCACGAAGTCCTGTTTAGGCAGAAATCTGGATGTTCCGCCCGCCCGCCCCAAAGTCCCCTGCTCAAACAATAGTCTCACCTTGCCGGGCCTTCAGTTGATGATGAAAGAATGTGTCAAAGGTGACGTGGGTTTGAACTGAGCAGAAACATTAACACCTACGAAAGAGAGGTCAATGGTAAACCATACCTTTCTCCCACAGCAAATCTGATCGAGCATTCTCCGATGTCGATCTGGCAACGTCGCTGTCCATGGAGCTATACGATCCTTATCTTGGAGCTTACAGGCTGCGAATGCCACAGAAAGCGAGCGAACTGCAGGCTAATTAGCAAGCAGCCATGCACCATTCATTGATATATCGTACCATTTGGTGTTCTCCAACTTGATCTGAACGGACGCCCTCAACGATTATACGCTCCCGTGCTATCTGATTTTTTTGCAGACATTGGCTCTCCATCGGGATTTATCATGGACACCCGCCGTTCGCCGGCGACACAGACCCAGATTCGTCCGAAAAAGTGCCCAGGTCAGCGCGTAATGAGCTTTCACAAAACTACTGAAAGTCATCTCGAGGAACGTCTTGTTTTTGGCGCTAGTTCACTAGGATAAAACCTATATCAGCTACAGTAATAGAACAATGAGAAATGGGATGTCTTACCTGTCAAGGTCTCCCAACTAAAGGCGCATTAGCCCAGGAGGGATGTCCCCGCGATATGAGCTGCAGCTACGTTAGCCCGAGAACAAAGAGAACACGCGGTCTGCCACACTGTTCGTGTGGTGCTCTTTTCTTTGAGCCACGAATGCATTGAGTCTCGTATAGCAGCCAGAAAATCCTTCAGGACAAGGTAGTCTCTCTAAAATCCGAGCCGCGCCTTCTTGGACCCAACATCTACGAGACAACAAGCATCCTTGGCATCGTTGAAGTCCATCGTATCCCTTTTCCTTGGAATTTCTCGCTAATAGGTCAAAAAAAGTAAGCTTTGGATGAAAAATCAAAGGATATGCCTGTGCACCTAGTCATCCTGCCGTGCTACAGAACCCGGGCCTCCTGCGTTACTGGGCTACGCGTCTCCATCATTCCAGGCGATCCCCGGCATTTCACTGTTTAACGTGCACCTATCATTGGAAGCGCCATCCAGGAGCCCATGGGACCATCGAACCTGCCCTACCATGAATTACACTAGGGAACCTGTCAGGATTAGGATATCATGACAAAGAAAGAAGCGCATCAGTACGGCCCTGTCCTAACCCTGTCCAAGGAGGAAAAAAAGATAATTCCATCGTCTGGCATAGGAAACTGTACTGAAAGGGAGACTGGAAAACTGCAGAAGAGGGAAAGGGTAAGAAGTTTTAAGCAATTAAACCTTTCGAGCTTCCGGTTGCAGTGACGTTGTCAATGTCGAGTCGTGGTCGTCGTTGTGGTAAAGCAGACGGAAAATGCCGTTGGTGGCCTTGATATGCAACATGAGCAACAAACGCGTCGCGTCGGTGGCTTGCCCGTAGCATCATTGATTCTCATTACTATCGACGTCCTTCCCATCAAGTTGCTGTTAGAATATGGATTGCTATTTTTAGAAGAGCGAGCTTGCATGAATATTCTCGCTCGTTCTCCCATATTCCCCGGGACGCTTACTCATTTTATTAGTGATACATTACTCATTTATTCTAGTACTACTATTCTGGTAGTAAAAGCTGTGTAGTTATAGGGCATCGTTAGCGCGATTGCCGTGAAACATTAGTTCCTTTGTGCTTACCTGTGAACCGCGAGTTCTTACAGTTGCTCAATCTCACGAACAGTTTCGTAAGACCGCTCAAGAATTTTGAACTTGTCGATTATTCTCTGCGCCATTACAGCTACAAACGAAGACAATGAGCCAGAGAACGAGATAAGTAGCCTTTTATTACAGGAAGACTTAGAGAGATTAAAAGCAAACTAAAATACGGAGCACTCTTTCTAGAATGTCAATGTCGATGTGACGATGTGTCCAGCTTGTCCATCTTTTCTTGAATGTACAAGCAAGCTAGTCGAACTGATTTAGCGACGGGGACATTATCGTGAAACGACTCATATAACTCACCATCTGCTAACGCCTGGAGTATCCCTTTGCCTGCGTACTCACTGCTCGGTGGAAAGTATTTGAGCGGTACAGAGGAGTATAGAGTATGCCATAGGACCGAAATGTCAACAGGTTCGGGGAAACTTGGATCGGTGGTGACGACAATCCCATTGCCATGATCGTCCCACATCTTATAAGGCTCCTTGGCTGTAATCAACGTCAGGATGAGATGCGCATAGTGTACAATAAAAACCTACCGAGAACCATACTCATCTTGAAAATCGACTGAAACGTTCTGTGGTGGCGAGATTTCACGAGGGGAATGGAGTATTCCTGCATGTACCATCCCCGAGTCTGATTTTCAAATTCTGGGCGATACGCGAGTTGCATTAACTGACGTTTGTTGATGAGAAATTCCAGGGTACAAGATTCGGAAGAAACTTCTTGGGAAGACATAGTTGGTGAGAGCGTAGGCGAGACAGAGAGCAGAGCTCCCACTTTTATATGTCCTAGTGTGGCAAATATCATTTTTGTTTAGCCGGGCCTGTAGCGAGACAACCAAGTAATGTCATACGTTAGCTGTAAAAGGTATATTTACTTTGCTTCAAGTTCAGCTCTAAGGTGTGTCAATTACCTTTTCTAGGGATCAATGAACTATAAACTCGAAGCACTCGGAACATATATCTTACATATATTGACTAGTCTATTTCATCCCAAAATTTGAGCATAGTTAGGGCGATGTCAGCTCATAATTAACGTGAAGTCAAAAAATAAGCCCTAGAAAACCGCACACAGAAATTTCGGAAGAACATACCACAGATTCCGCGGTATTTACAGTAATGGGTGCGTTCTGCTTTCCAAACGGCAAAGTTGCCACTCAACAATGATTTAAGTTTAAGTTTTGTACACGAAATGTCCATGCATTGTCATGGATTCAATCATTGTTCAAGGACGTCTATTCGTCACGCATCATGACTAGTGGTAGCTTATCCACTCTTGTGCCGACAATTGCAGAATACGTAAGGGTGCTCTTGATCTGAACATATAAAAGACCGGCCTGCAGCGCTCAGAAACACCATCCGATCCACCATGCAACCCTCCAAGCCTAACCAAGTTAAATCAACTCAGCCTTTCGAATCGCCCTCTGTCTCTCTCATCCCGAAGGGACTCCATGGCGAGACACCCATCTCCGTACGGCCTTGTCGCTGCGGCCTCAACTACCCAAACGGTTGCGAGTGGCATGTCTTCCACCCCGAAGGTCAGGTACTCGCGATCCACCACAAGAACTCTCCCGATGAGTTTGCCAAGGTCCAAGACTCTCCTCCTGCTAACACCCCTTCCAACACCACACCAATCTCGTTAACCGAGGCCCAGCTCAACTCTTTCGGGTTTGGCTACCACAAGGATGCTACATTCACCCTCAAACAAAACTTCTCGAAGAAAAGGGACTTGGGCCCGTGGGCACGGGTACAAGGCGAAAGCATACGATGTCTGGGTTGCGATGTCGACGTAGTTCCGGGAGATTGGATTGAGCATCGGGGAACCTGTCGTGGCATCGAAACGAAAGTCGTTGATGTCATAGCAGACGCTTGGGAAAAGGAGGCGAAGGACGGGGCCTTCGCTTCCCGTGCCCCTGGAATTTTCTCTCTGCTCGTCTAATTGAATAGGGGTTTCGTTTTGGGATATCTCTTTTGCTGCCTGTACTATCAATAAAAACGGCAATATATTTCAATATTAGAGGAATTATAATTAGCGACAAAACGTTGACTCACCACGTTATCGAGAGCGCCTGGCTTAAAGTTAAGTTGGTGAGCAACCGGAAACGGTAAATGCCTCCGCCCGGGACCAACCGCCATTGGAACCACGATCTCATGGCGCCAAAATTTTGGACCAAAAAATCGAATTGTGTACTTCAACTAACTAATCAATCCAGTAACATAAACATCGGGTCGTAATTTTCAAGCGTAACTTGAAGCCTTCTTTGGTCTATTCCTCAGTCCAGCTTGCATGTTCGAATCCACACCATAAATCAGACGCAATTTCTGAGGAATTTACCTACTGTTTTTGCTAGCGAGATGCATTCATTACCTGCCACCGGTCCCCGGGCCGGAAAACATCGGAAAAATGAACGATCGTCAAACATGGATCCATCTTCTTACCAACAACCAGCCTACACGAGGCATCGCCAACACCCCACCTCCCCTAACACTCTCATTCCTATTCCATTCTATTTTCAGCATCTTACGGCTAGTAGCTATCTCGATGACTGCCACTACATCATCCGCCCTGGCCTATTCATTCTTTATCCTTTGCACAAAAAATATCCCGCTTACTGTCTTCATCCTCGTCACTCTATTTCTCCTCACGAGCTTTGTTGTATACAAGACTACGACGTTGTTTGCGCATTAGGCGAGTCCGCTCTCAGTGGACATCGAAGAGGGAACTGATTCTGGACATCGAATCGAAGGTATGTCGCCGCCTATATTCTGGAAGCCACGCCTAATGGTACACTCTGCTAGCGGCCAGATGGAGACCACACTTCAACCGGAAAGATTGAATCACTACCTCTCATCTCGCACTTGAGGCCAAAAGCAGGCGACAGAATCCGATCCTTACATCGACGACTCATAACTTCCTGCGGCTGTTCTGCTCCCATTTATCTTCCTATAGATATCAAGCGATATTCTACCAAAGACTCCGAGCTCTCTGCAGTGCATGGCACTGAGAACAACTGTCATGAACCATGTCCACCGACCTTCGCCGAACGTCCGTCAAGTCTGCTCTTATACGGTTCGAAGCCTGGCTTGGACTCTGTAGGGAGATACGAAGGAGGATATGTCGAAGGAGTCCTCCAAACAGCATTAATACGGTGTATGCTGCGCCGGCCGGGAAGCAGCATGTCGTTTCTTCCATTCTAGCTAGACGCTTGTAAACCCAAAGTTCTTGTCCTCGTTCCATCACTTCTTTGGGATTAGATACATCATTACAACAAAAATTTTGAGCAGTTATGTATGCACTAGAATATCAATGCACACACTTCTTAAAGTCAATAAAATAAACAGCTTTACAACGATAAACTAGACTCGACCTTATCCATAAGACAAATGAATTCATGATATTTGTCGTTATACACGTCGTCCCTATCTTCGAGCGATTCCACCTCTTTATATGACATTCACGTTGCAACCCTGCCAAGAATTCCTTAGAGTTCGCAAAGTGGTCAGTGTATTTCACAACCCACCTCCGTATCAAAATCCCTTGAACAGATAAGTCTCGCCGCATCTGAGTATGATCCCCCCAGTATCGGGCTTGAACATGAGATCTCTATCGTTCCATAGATGTCATAGTAGGCTTCAAGATGGGCATTAAGCCATGTGGTAGAAGTTAGATGTATTCGAAGAGTAACACCTCGTTTACTTATTTCCCATCAGGCACACTATCGATAGTTCGCGGTGCTGCGTAGGAGTAACTAAGTAGTCTATTTGACGTTTCATTTACCCACCTGGTTACTACAGTGAACTCTACTTGACCTGAACATAACCAGCCTATTACAGAAAAATCCAATCGATCGCCACGACATATTTGCAAAGAGACTCTAGCTGTCCCATATCAATCTAAACAGCTTTATTCAGCAAAGGGCAATAAAAGCGATGCGCAAGCAGCTTACCGAGTTCAGAAATAGAAACGATCCCTCGCGCGACCAATGGAGCCATCTTTGTCTCTACCACCGTCTTGTACTGCTGTATGTTTTCTCCCTGGCCATAACTAAGCCTAAAGACGATAGATACATCTATAATGTTGCTCATGTCGGAACCAGACAGGATCCTCGCCAAATCAGACCAAACGTTGTGGGTCCCGGAGGGTCGCAGTTCGTAGTTGGAAAGATATACGTCGAGAGCGATATTCTCGATGGACGTGGACTTTGCTTCCTTCAAGTTTTCCACCCACCACTTCATTGTCTGAGGATCAGAAGTATCTCCTTCTTCCGCTAGCGACACATTGATAGAGCGCAATCGCGAGATATTCAAAATCGGGTGGGTAGCCGCCACCGAGCCTGGTAAAGTGTCAGTTCTGGTTTGACGACGGGACACGTTCTACTCACCGCTCCTGTGATGTGCCGCATTCAGATGTTCTAGGGACGGAAGTGGTAAATCTAAGATTTGTTTGAGAAGCGACAGTAGTCTGATGTTCGATAATGATTGAGAGAGATTGCAGATTGTTGACCGAGAAGGGATACGTCTGAGTTTCGATGATGGACTCGAGAATGGGATCGCAGAATCCTTCCAGACTCAGCTTGACCAACCACCCTCCCGACGCTGGAGGGGACATATTAGTGATAAACGGGCTCGATTCCCCTATGATCCCTTCGAATGACAGATCAAATTCTGTAGACCCGCTGAATACAGTGTACAGGGCATCAACGTCCTTAAGGAGGTTCGTGTCAAGGACAACTGAGCGAAAGGAGTGTTGTGACAACGCCTCCTTCGAAGACTCACTCACTTCGCTCCAGTGATACTTGTTTATTTTCAACCTTTCGAGCTGACATACGGGAATGAGTCCCATCACAGCTGGGAAAGAAGGATCCTCGAGGATGCGTTCCCTACGACCGCCGTAGAGTGTGCAGAGATCGAGATTCTTGACGTAGGTGATGACATGTGGGGAGGTGATACACAAGGCGTGGAATTCTGGCACTTGTCAATGGTGCTGAGATCTATGGTTTCGAATAGGTGGACGCGGGTGCGAGGCAGGAAGGCGTGAGAGACTAAGGAGCAAGACCGCAGAGTCGGGATATCGTCCCTGGCCTCATCGATGATCCTGTCAACCAGCTCTTGGGGAAGAGAGGGCATTGCGATATTGGAAACTCCTGACTGCGCAGTGATCAGGACAGGACTCCGGAGGGAAATTTGCACAAAGGATAGCAGAGAGATGCTCACAGAGAAATCAAAGCAGCTGTGAGCGGCGGTGGGGTAGACTTTTGGTGGGCCGAGATGCTTCGTTCAACGTAGGTGAAAGAGGATGACAAGTCTGGCGCAGAGCCCCTAGTGCACACTTTAGGTCCGTGCGTTCTCGATCAGTCACGGGTATTCCAATTCAGATTCCACGGAAGCGGCTCTCCGCCATTCAATTATAGTTGTAGGACAAGATGACATCTGCAATACGATAGCTCATGAATAATCTCGCAGCTCACCCAATCACCCACTTCTTAAACGCGTCCATTCTGCTTTCTGCGTTAACAAAGGACGCTCATAGTCATCTATGATTTTCCTTTCCTCCTCGAAGAAAGTAACTTCTTTCGGTCGAATGAGCTGGACATAGATCGTTAACGAAACTTATCAGATTATAGAACGGAAAAACGAAAAACGCACCCGAGTACGATGTAGGGCCTTCCAAGACGATGAATAATATAGGAAGAACACCGATGATAGTATAAGAAAAGAAGAACGTGGTCGTGTCCCAATTTCCTGGCATGAAGACCGAATAACCCAGTATGAACGGCATTATGAGGGTGAACCCGAAGGCGTAGTAGCTGCGAACATGATCAGCCTTGACGAGGGAAAGACTACTGAGAATATACCCGCAGAATGGTTGAAGGATACTACGGAATGGTAGGCTGCTTCGGGATATTCCCTGAGCCTCCAAGGCCTGAAAAAAGTCAGCATCACTTCGAACCAGAAAGTGTAACAAAAAAGCACATAGTAAATCTCAGATATGTAAATGTCACGATAGCATAATTGATAACTTGCGTGGCCGCCGTGAGGCTGACGAACCTATCATGAAGTTCAGACTACGTCCAGCTAAACAATCAAGTCAGATAACTCACCATTCAAGCACCTTAGAGGTATCATTTGATACCTGCAGGAATGCCAAACAGAGATTAGTATGGTTACTCCAACGCAGTATATCGGACACCGTTCCGCGTGCATCTTGTC